GGTGTCTTCGGTAATTCATTTGACTATTTCCAAAGGCTAAAGGAGAAAATTCTCTTTGCCCATATGTAAGTTATTAAAATACGTTTTCGATTTTGCTTACCTGGCACAGATCCACAGGGGGGCGGCAGTCTAATTACATTTCCAGCATAGTGGTTCTTTGAAGTATCAACTAATTAGGAATGGGCATTGCAAAAGTTTAGACCAGCACTCAGGAAAAAAATGCTTCATGTAACCATCGCTAATTCATTAGGATAACCAAAGCTTATTTCCTTTGAGTAAAGATTTGCACATCCTCACCTACAGCAGTGTACTATATGTAATACTTCTTTGTAGCTCCTCTGAAAGCACAACTCTGTTTAAATTAGCTAAATTGAAAGGCTAATTGCCTTGAGCTTGAAGTACAAAGGATGTCCATGCTTAGATTTCTTTGCCAGCTGCAAGAGGCTGAGAAGATGGTGTTTCAGAAATCCTAACAGGGTGTCTCATGACACCTAAGAATTTTAATGTGGTGTCATAAATCACTAATTTATTCTTGCTTCAGTATTGCTTGCAGAATCTGTTTGGATAGATGACAGTTCTGTGTACTGGGGAGGAAACATGATGGGGGACACACAACTTGTTTAGTCTGGTAACAGGTGATGTCAAAGACCTGAAAAGCTCTTTTACTTGCGTTGCTTCCTCTTACGATTTTGATCATAGTTAAAATGAGTGTATCTGGTTTGAAGCTGAACTTATATTTGCAAGAGAAAGCAGCAGATTTTCAAGTACCTATGAAATATGAATATGGCATAGAGTCCCTTTACGGACTTAGATTTTTCTGGATCGTTTCAGCTGGATGTTTTGTAAGAAACTTGAATGTTCCTCTGTGTTTTCTGCTTTTTTTCTTGTTTTCACCTTTCAGTTTTTAATTGGGTCTAGTCCTCTTAAGCTGTTGAGTAAATACTACTACAGTGATATAGCACTACCTTTGTAGTGTGTGTGTCACTCCAGTGTGATTTACAGAATCACATCCTTTTTGTATGGGCCATTTTAGTTTGTGGATGTTGTTACGTATCAGCCGCAGATGAGACTTGGCTTATACTGTGCTGTATCCAGGTTATATAAAAGTGGGAGCTTGCAGGATTGATCTACTGTATTTTCCCCATATGATAATTTCCATCCTTTCTCCCTTCTGATGAACTCATACTCTTGTTCTTAAACCTACTTCTAAATACTTCACAATCCCATCTCTTACTCTAAATGATTTGTTTGATTTCACGGAATATAATGATCATGTCGCTTCTCTTTATTCTCAGTTCACTGACTGTAGTCTCAAGTAGCTGCTTCTGTTAAGTGATAATGTTACTGAGCTATGTGTAAGCCTGAGGAACAAAATGGCCTGATTTCATATCTGACTTGTGGTGAGTGAGAATAAGTACCATCCAGAACTCTTCAAAATCTGTCTGCAATGGAAAGCTTTTTTTGAAGCAAAAAGACACTTGCCAGATGCTTGCTTGCATAAATTTGAGTGACTAGGAAATGTAGAGAATAGGAAGAATGCTCAAGTTTTTTGGTTTGTGAGTTTTTAAAATTACAGTTTCACATGTATGTACAAGTTTCCTTCATAAGTGTAAAGCATTCAGACAGCCTTCTAAAGAAAGGTTACCTCTCACAAAATACACCTGCATTCATGTCGAGATTCTTACACTGACTCAGTGCAGAATTGTACTTGTTCCGCATATTCTAGAGCCAGGACATTTCAGCAGGTGTTTTTAATGGTGTGTTTTTCCAACTCTATAAAGATTTAAAGACAAATGGGACCTTTCAAGTAATAACCTATTTATTTTTTTGAAGAAATACACCACAAAAAGTGATCAGTTATAGTAAAAGCTGTGTTACTGTGTGAAAGGTGTGTATGCTGTAAAATCTCAGTGGATGTTTGCCATGAGCATTTTCTTCTTAAACATTTTAGAAGGGACTGGACAAAGGCTTTTCAAACACAGATGGTTTGCCATACCAAATGTTCAGGTCTCTGAAATCCCAGGAAGATGAGGGCTAGGACTTCTGCATGGGAGCAGGCAGACTTGAGGGCTAGCGTGGTTTGGTTTCCGGCTGCAAGTACAGGTCCTCTCCAGGGTCAGACCGGTCAGAGTATGCTGCTGCATGCCCTCCTAAAGCTAAGGTTTAAGATGCTCAGTTAGGCATTTTTTCCAACGTGCTTTACATCTGCTGCTCCCAGCAGTTGTTGAGAGGTCAGTGCTGCTTACAGTCTGGTCACCTTTTAATTTAGATGCAAAGCTTTAGGCAGTCAGGGTTGTTTCAAATTTTCACTTTGTGGTTTTTCTTAAATTAGTAGCAAGAGATTGCTTTAAGGACTCATTCGTCCTGTGTTAAGGCAACTAAGACAGTACTTTGTAGTAAAAGTGAGTTTAAAACTATTCTGTTCATTTAAAAAAGTGTAATTTGGACAGTGGTTTCTTTTTGTTTGTCTGAAGGTTGATTTCCTTTCTAGTCTGGCAGCTGCGATGCTGCCTTAGGCTGTAGGTGCAGTGTTTGAGTCCTTGCTAGGCTCAGTTGTTCTTTCTGGGTGTGTCCATATTAAAAACATTTTTGGTCACGTCAGGAGTGCACTTTTGAGGCAAGTGTTCTGATTTTCCCCATTAACCCTGCTTTGATTCGTATTTCAACAGTCTCAGACTTTACCAACTGAAAGGTTTTGTTCATTTGGATGAAGCAAACCAAAATGTGCAGTTCAGGAGTGTATGTATCTTGTGATAATGGGCTAATGCAGTACCAGGCTGGTGCTTTCCGAAACAAACCCCCTTTGAAAGGTTCTGGTGCTGCTACAGGTACTCAGAAGGAGCTGTCTGCTCCATCAGTCTGCCTTCTCATGCACGCAGCTTCCTAATGCAGGTGTTCGCCTCTGTTGCTTTTAAATGTATCCAAACCAACCGAGTTTCATAAAGATCTTTCAGATTATTGAAATATTTACTGAATTATATTTTGAATTACTATTTGCATTCTGCAATCAAACTTATGAGGTTTCTGACAAGTCAGGATTTTAAAACTGGTACCTACTTTATTATTAAATAATTATGTTTGTATGTTTATAGCATATGAAACAGTGTAACTTAAAGGTTTTGAAATAAAAATATTTTTTACTTCAGGGAATAAAAACTACAACAGTGCTGTTGAAATAAGAATATACAGAAAACAAAGGGAGTAGGGGAAGTTATTTATGGTTTAAAAAATATACTGAAAAGTAATAAATACCAAAACTCTAAGCAGATTAAATTTTCAGATGAAAATGTCATCTAAGCTCAGCTGAGTTGAGGATCTTGGTTGCTTGCCTTGAAATATGATACTTACGCTTAAATGATTTAGTGTGACACTGTCTAGCCTAGGTTTTCAGGATCATTAGTATTTTGTTTTTGAAAGCAGATAGGTACCTGGATCCTACAGTTATTTTAATAATTATTTTTTGTTTTAATATTTGATGTGGTGTATATCGTAATGTATTGTTCATGTTTTTTGTTTATTTGATGAAAGAACTGCCAGTTATATGAAACAAATGTATGACTGTGACTATAAACTCTGTTTATTTAGAATACTTTGAGGAGGAATTTGTACAAATACTAAAATTTTAAGTGTGGACTAGCGTTAGGAATGTGATGAAATACTCTATCACACCACAGAAATGACTCTTTAAATAACCTGTTTCTGAAGTTGTTTCTATTTGCATACCTGTGGCAAAGAACCAAACAGACTTTCTCCTTATTTTTCTGGATAAGAGGAGGAGTATTCTAGTATTGTCTGGGCATACTACACTGTTTTGAGGAGAATTGCTACGATTGCTTTTGTGTTTTGTTTTGTGCACGTGGAGGTGCGGTCTCTCTCATTCCCCCTGTCTAGCAGAGTGGTAGGTATGCAAAAAGATCTGTGCTGCTCTGGTTCCTGGGCTGAAAAAGGGACCTTGCATTTGAAGCCTTTTTGCTTTTGCAAGCTGAATATATATGTGCATGCTTGCCTGGAAAGAGCGTTTCTGCACCCCTCCCTGAGCCAGCCTTTGGCTGGTTCAGAGTATTTGGAGTGGTGGTCAGAAAGAATAAACTGTAAACAGCAAGTTACTTAGCCAAAAAAACAGAAATACTTTCTATTTGAGTTACCCTAGACTCTTCTCACCCTTATAAAGAGTCCTCCCCACTTCTTTACTGGTTTAGCAGCATGCATTAAATAAAATACAGACCTACACCCCCCCTCCCCCCCGATATATAAAACTGTTCTTTGTGCAGCTTGACTCATTTATCGTGATGAGGTTTTTATTCTCTAGGGACAAGTGCATTTTTCAGGCTCTTGGGTTGTTGTCCAGGAACTGTCATTTACTGTGTATTGGTATCTCCCACAGGACTAACTTCTACCTGGCATTTCTCTGTGTAATAGTTTTAACTGTGAAGGTATTGATAGACTGCTATCGACAACATGTTCATGCTTGTATGAAGGCTGAAGTTTTGGGTGTATATAAAAGTGGAACGTATTCGTTAGTCTCACTTGAACAGTCTGCTGTCATCCAGTGTTTCAGTTACATCTCTTGTTGGCATCCTTTTTGTTGAATAATTGTATTTGGGGTAGTGGGTACTGCTGTGGGCACTGAAAAGTGAAAAGCTCTGGAACCAGTGTTTAGTGATGTGGAGGAAATGTATTTGAAAATAATCTTAACCTCTGCTACAGATGCAATAATAAACCTGCTTTAAAGTAGAGAGCTTGCAGAACAAAATAATGAGTTGTTGTGAGTTGTCGTTGTGCGCAGACTGTGATGTATTGCCAGCTTATTATTTCTGAGCTCTGTGGTGTGTCACAAATGCGTGTATTTATTAAGCAATGCCTCTGCAATTTGGAACCTTATTTATTGGAACCGTTCTTTAGTTCATGTGGCATAGTATTTTTAAAAAGAAAACGCTGATTTGGTAGTAAGCATTATTAGTTGGCTTCTAGTAACGATTTTGTCTGTTTACTTTGTAGGTATGAAGCGTCCATTAAGTCCTGACCACGTCTCTGAAGATGGGATTATGAATCAACCAGCTATTCTACGGGGCTTTGAAGAAAAAGGACTGAGGAATGACAGACAGGACTATCAATTAAGCAAAGAAAAGAAGAAGATACTCTTTTCCTTCTGCGAAGTGTGCAATATACAGCTGAACTCTGCAGCACAAGCTCAAGTTCATTACAATGGGAAGTCTCACCTGAAAAGAGTGAAGCAGCTAAATAACGGAAAACTCCCTACAAGTGTAGCTCCTGGCACTTTCTTTGCAAGTACAAGCACAGGTACATGATTAGTATGAGATGTTGGATTTTGGTCAAGAAATCTGAGGAAGCTTTTAAGCTCTACCTTGCCCACCCAACATAATCATTAAAATTAATATAAATGAATACTAGTAGTTAATAATATTTTGCCATGTGCAGCGTTACTGGTGTATTTCTTTTCCTGTGAAGCCAGCTTGTATTGAGGCCATATTGCATTTATGCACGATTAATGGCTGTGTTGGGCCTCATGTAGTTGAGATATGGTCTGTTTAAAAGTAGCTATTGTGGGTTCAAGTAGTCATGTATTTTTTCATCTGCTTTTGTTCCCAAAACAAAGTGCTGGAAGAATGCTGTGTACATAGGAGAAACTTTTTTAAAAGAGATGTAATGGTGGGAAGAGGAGGAGGAGAGCTGCAATTCAGAGGCCTGACCCTGTCATTGTTTCGGCTTTCAGTGGTCTGAGTTTTAATTACTCTCATTCAAGTGAAAGTAATTTGAAATAATACTTTTTACTTACTGGGCAAAACAAAGGTTCCAAATGCTTGGGTAAAATGCATTTAACGTGTAATGTAAAGGTGTAAAGCTCAAAATGTGCTTTTTTGTTGGTTTTTTTGGGTTTTTTAAATTTTATTTCAGTATTAGGCTCACTTCATAGTTATTCTGACAAAAATGTAGTATTTCCTTACTTCTCTACACATTTAAGAAAGCAGACACGTGGAACAAATGATTCAGTCTTGTACGGTTGTTAAGGGTAACTATGTTGTGACTCTTCTTCCCTTTTTTAAGAGGTCCTGGTATGCCGTATGTTTTCTTGCTATCGTGTTCATAGTTTAAGGATTTTGCTGCAGGATTATCCTTTTTCTTTGGTGTTCCAACAGCATTGAAGAAAATTTTTTAGAGCACTTTAAGGATGGTTTTTTTACTGATAGTTGAATAGACACTTTCTTTCTTCCCTTTTTAAAGAAAATTCATGGTGTTTTGACATTCTGTAGAATCCAAAAGGGCCACAGTGGATTCTGGAAAGTAATCTTTACATCTTGAGTAAGTATAGCGAGTCATCCTTTCTGGTTCTGAGATAAATAAAATGTAGCAGGTTTAAGAAATTACTGTCTAGGAGGAGCAAAAGTTGGTGCTTATTAGCACTTGGTATTGATGAAGTAACAGGTCTCAAACCTTCATGAAAAAAGTTTTATTAGAGTTCTTGCTAGCCACATGAGTGGATTTGCTTTGGGGCTTTTTTGTTTTGTACAGGAACAGTCAAACTGCATTAAAGGGTTTAGCTTTTTCTTTTTTCTGATTTTGATTCTTGATAACTGAATTCAACTTTTTTGGAAGTCTGTGGTATTGTTTTGTTTGGTTTAGAACCAACTAGTGTAAGGGTATCATGTGGGTAAAGCCTGTGGTCCAAAAGATTAAATTCCTATTGAATAACACCTAAACTACTTACTTGTGTGCATTCTTAAAATAGCTTAATATCTGACACATTCTAATTTAGTTTAAATTTCTCTGTGTGCTGATAGAAAACGTTTAAAGTGTTTGCACTGTGTATTTTCTGTTGCTTCTTGTTAGCTAGACCCCTGCACCTGATGTCTTTGCTGTCTTTTCTGGGGAACGCAGCTGATGCTCTGGCACTGTTGCTCGAAGAATACTCTGATCCTGAGAATATTTTACACTTGCTGGAACGCATGATTTGGGGTTACTGTATAGCTTAGGAGTTAAAATCCATGTTTCTTTGTGTTTTGTTCACTGATCTCTGCATTAGACTATATCCTAGTTATTTACTAGTTATGCAGATCTGTCCAGTGTATGTTGAAATAGGCATTCTGTTTTCATAGCTGAAGGATGTTGGTTTCATAGCATTTAGAAGAAAGAAATGCCTTGGGTAGGCAGTTTATTATTATTATTGCATAGACAATTTAATATACTGCTTAAGAGCCAGTAGGAGAACAAGATTTACTGAAATGTAGTTCTCAAAGAACACTTTCCAAAAATAAGTAGAAATTAATTTTCTTATAAATTGACATTATCCAGTTTTAATCCATGTCCTCTGGTGTGTTATTACCCCTTCTAATGGAAGTCTGCCTTTCCCATTTCTTTGGCTAACACTGTAAACAGAATTAATTGTGCAGATGGTAAGAGAACAATTATATTCATCTCACCTCACCAGTGAACAGACTTTATTCCATGTGCGAAGGAAGCAAATAGCCCCGCTCATACTTCATTGTTATACCTACATACCCTTCTAATGAACCAGATAGTGAACAGTTCAGCACACCTTGGGAAGCTTTCTGCAAAGGATCCTGCTAACCTCTGGTTGGAGTTTTCCTCTGTCTTCGTAAGGATGAAAGTGAAATTAATAATGTTGGAAAATAAAGTGACTGTAAAGTTTACATGACTAAATATTCGTTGATGTTACAGAAACCAGCATTACAGACCTGCCAGAACTGTCTTGATCTTTTGTGACAGAACTGATCAGTGCACCGTCACTGCCTCTAGCCTCCTTGGCTCTTGGTGGACTTTCTTCCAAATAGGGAGGAACACAAAGGAGCCATTAGATGTATTTTCATATTCATCCTGTTCTGATGTCCTCTCTGTGACAGGTAGCCTCAGGATCCTTTTAACTGCTGACTTCCACTGTGTTATAGTTGTAAAACTTCAGTTTGTTGCTTGTTAACTTTCAGTAATAGGTAATGGTCCTTGTTGTACCACTTTTGAAAAGTTTACTAAGATTTGATAACTGTGAAATTCCAGGTCTTGGCAATAATTCTTCACAATGTACCGATGAGGGAGTTTTACATATTTAAAGTCTAAATATCTTCTTAGAGGTAACCTTAAAATGACTTCTTTATATTTAGAATAAGTGTATGATTGTCATAGAAGTTGAAAAGGTATTTAGCAACATGTTTTTCTAAAAAAGCCTACTCTGTTGTTACAGACTCTTGTTTACGTTGCCTCCCCCACTCCATTACTGAAATCCAGACGCTATTTTGCTATTGGAGCTGTACCTGCGATTTCAGTTACTTTACAGCAAGTAAAATTGCATATAAAATGAAGTTTAACAGCCGCATTTCTGTGTATTGACCGAATCAAGAAATTAGTTGACTAAATTAGAAGGCTTTGGTGATTGATCAACTCATTGAAATCCTCACTTTCTTTACATGGGTGTTAAAAATTATGCGTATGAAGAAAATGGTATTCTACTGGAAAAGTGTATTGCACATGATGACAGAGCCTTCGCCATTGCCGTTGGGATGGTTCACTCCCGTTCATACCCATCCTGTCTCACTGCAGCTCGGGCCGAAGCTCGTCAGTGGCGCCGCTGCCAGGGGCCATCCCCGCCTCGGGCCAGGCTGACGCCGGCACGACATGAATGACGTTTCGGGGAAATAAGAAAGCGTGTATTTGCTTCTGCGGCTTGGACTGGAAATTATTTAAGTGATTTCCTGCAAGCAGGAAAGGACAGGGTAGTTTCTCGCAGCCTTGGGGGAATGTATTTTGGAGTGGGCGTGCGGAAAGCGTTCCGGCAGCACGTTTCGCTGGACGGAGCCTGCAGCGGCCATCGCCATG